ACCTAGATAAATGAGCGCTGTTAGGCGCAAATCCAATCGTTTGCGGGAGAGTGGAAGCTAAAGCGCGCTGCAGGACATGGAGGCGCCAGCGATCACTTGCTTTTTTTTTTTTAAGAACAGCGGAAACTTTAAAATACGCTGTCATTTTTGCTCATAAAGGTAAGAGTATACATCATTCGGAACGGTTCATTATGTAATCCGTAAAGATGCATTTCTCTCTAAAGGCACGTCCAATGAGGATGGATAGTCAACATTGACTCAGAAAACATTGACTTCAAATATCCCCTCACTATTTTTGACTGTTTTTGTTTGTTTTTTATTTTATTATAATTTTTTTGTTTGTTTGTGGGGGAATTGTGTTATGGGATAATGTGAATACTGAATTAACATATTTCTAAAAAAAAATGTATAAAGTTTTTATATATCTCAGCCCAGCTATTTTAAACTCTGTTTCATCACATTCCAGGGTTACTACCGGTATTATGCGAAAAAACCCTTATACAACACTGATAGGAATACTGAGATAAAAGACAAAAAAAAATAAAAAATACAACCATCAACGTATTTCAACATTTTTACTTTATTGTAACAAAAGTTTTTGAACAGTAAGATTTTTGTTTTTTTAAAGAATTCTCTTCTGCTCACCAAGCCTGCATTTATTTGATCCAAAATACAGCAAAAACAGTAATATTGTGAAATATTTTTAGTATTTAAAATAACTGCTTTCTATTTGAATATATTTTACAATGTAATTTATTCCTGTTATTTAAATGCTGATTTTTTTAGCATCCTTGCTGCAGTCTTCAGTGTCACATGATCCTTCAGAAATCATTCTAATATGCAGATTAGATGCTAAAAAAACATTTATTATTATAATAATAATAATATTTAAAACAGTTGAGTACATTTTTTTCAGGATTCTTTGATGAATAGAAAGATACAAAGATCAGCATTTATCTGAAATAATAAAGACATTTATAATGTTACAAAAGATTTCTATTTCAGATAAATACTGTTCTTCTGAACTTTCTATTCATCAGAGAAACCTGAGAAAATTCTACTCAGCTGTTGTCAGCATAATAAAAATAAATGTGTTTTGAGCAGCAAATCAGAATATTAGAATGATTTCTGAAGGACACTGAAGACTAGTGTAATGATGCTAAAAAAATCAGCTTTGAAATCACAGGAATCAATTACATTTTAAAATATATTCAAATAGAAAGCAGTTATTTTAAATAGTAAAAATATTTCACAATATTACTGCTTTTGTATTTTGGATCAAATAAATGCAGGCTTGGTGAGCAGAAGAGAATTCTTTAAAAAACTTAATGTTCAAAAACTTTTGATTGGTAGTGTATATCATAAAATTTTTATATTAGTGCTACTATTACAACATCAATACTGTAACTTATTTGTAACCTTTGAACTTTTAATTTAGTGCAATATTCACTGTAACTTTGTCACTGCAACATTTTAGTGCAGCCTTCACTAACAACTGCAACTGGATTTATATGTATACCTAAATGCACTGTTATCTCACCGGTCACTATTGTTGCCATCAACATGTTTCCTCATTCTATGACCACACTCAACAAAACTGAATTATTGTGAATTCATATATTAATGCTAGACACCTTAAAAATAACATGTACCAAATATCTTTGTCATATATTTGTTAAGATACTTTAACAAAAGGCTATAAAAAAGGCTATACTTTATAGCCTTTTGTTTTGGAGCTTTGATGCAGCCATCATCTTCTCATGGAGCAAACATTAAATAAACTGCCCTGGTCATGTGACAATTTGCACTAACCATGTGACACTGCACATATTTAATTGAGAGCCTTTATTTTTTCCATATTTCCAGGAAATGCATTAAAACACCAGTCAATAACATTTTTAGAGCTTTATCAATGAAAACCTTCTTTACGGCCACTATTGTGACCGGTGGGATTATGGGTAAAGCGCGGTCCACTGCTGCGATATCAATAGAGACACAGCTGTATCGATACCTGTATCGTCAAGAAGTATGTGACAGTATCGATGTTTCAAACACAGCCCTAGTATGCAGTCTTTGTATTGCATCACATTCGATACAAACTGCAAACTCGCATTCAGTGGCACTGAAGCCAAACTCTGCAGAAAACACCAGTAAAAAGACCTCTAACATTAGTCTTTACTGCCACCTACTGTCTGAGTAATTTACTTGCAAGGCCTCCAATGCTATATTGTTACCCAAGCGGCAACCTCCCGCGCTCTCGTGAAGCCAACAAGGAAGTGACTTAAACTGTAATTCATCAACTGGCCGCTAGAGGCTGGCTGCAAAAGGGAGTAAATCCCATAGACTCCCCATGTTAAAATGCCCAACTTTACAGCAGAAAAAAACATGTTTACAGTCCGAAAACTACGGGTGACGTCACGGACACTACGTCCATGTTTTTATACAGTCTATGATTGTTACATGCACAACCCTGAACCTCAAAAGCGGTCAAGGCACATTTTTACACAAACTTGAGGTGAGTCATCTTAGTCTAAACAAACACAAATTCCTATGATATAACCCGAATCATCCACTTCATTAGCCACAACAGTTCACGGCCCTTTCATAGGTTTGCAAGGTTATAGGTCAACAAGTTTCTATACAGCAAGTACATAGAATGACCTTGATTTCTACAGTGCTTTGACAAGGTGTTTTTTCCCTGAATGTATATTAAAACACTGGCATAGAACCAAGCTTGACATTACTGAGTCATATGAAACAATATTAGACTGCTTTTACATTAGGAAGCAACTAAACTTGCATTAGCAGTGAAAATACCAGTGCTTGCAAGTGCAAGATAGTGTGAACGTTTTGGCAAATATCTGATGTATTCAGTCACTATACATTTATATTTTTAATTACTATTTTTGGTGAACAAAGTACAGTATTTAACAACTATACAAGACATTTAAGATCAATGCAAAAAAAAAAAATCTAAAATACATTCAGGTGATATTTTTTAACTGAACAGTTATAGAAACGTGCTAATGTGCGAGACTTCCGATTCATTAGTCGCTATTAAATAACTAGAAGAATAAAGTGCAATAAACAGTTAAACTATTTGTGCTACAGTTTGTCATGAATCCTGTTTGTCTAGAATGTACTGCGCGAGAATAACCAGTAGATGGCGACAAAGCCTTACATAATTCATAGAGGGTTTCATAACACCATAACAACTCCATTTGAAATTGGAGTATTATTATAAACCATACCAGACTAAGAGTTCAGATTTCCTACAACGTTTCCAACCGATAACCAAATTATCACTCAGTACAGCTTTAATTCCTTCAAGAATTAAATGCAAGTGGATAATATTCAAAATCAACACATCAGAGCCAGTACTGATCTAGTTTATGCATTTGAACAGGCTGTGGTTCAGCCAAGTTCAACTAACACGTGCAGAGCACTTCAAAAGCTGGCCTTTAACCAGAGGTTTGTAAGTCCATGTTCTTGGACTGTGTCCTGATGTGACTGAAACCACAAGCTGTTTCAGAGTAAAGCTCTGGCCACATGCATTATACCTCCAAATTGACTATAACTCATCAAATGTCCTATCCTGAATCACAAATAAAAATACAATATGATTGTTTATAACCAGAATCAGAATATTTCAAATGGAATTTCTTTGTATTTTACCAAGGAAGGGGCTGCAATATCATGACAGCACCAAAACAAACAGAAATAGACATGGGCCAAACTCATTTTTATCTGCATCACCACAAAAATACACCCACTTATTAATATTCAAGAGTCTGTAAAATATGCTTTACCTTTTTGTGTACAATGACGTGTGCAGGTCCAAGGATAGGTGAGTATTTTTACTTAATGGTTACATCCTTACATTTCTAGTTAGTAAATCAAAATTTTATGCAAAATTGTTCATGTGATTTATTAAAGTGTTAAATGAACTTGGCCTGTGTCTGTCAACAGGTCTCTTTCATTGGTCTCCATAAAACTTTTTTTTTTTATAAATGCATATACTCCATTAAAGTTTTTAATTTGATTTTTTATTGAACGTATATAAAAGGTAAATACACACATTTACAGCTCAAAACCGATTACAACAATAAGAGATATAATATAAACAATATACAAAGAACCAGGAGAATAACACAAAAAAACATTAAGCCAGGGGTAATATATAATGTAAAATAAATTAAATTCGAGAAGAAAGAGAAAGGGAAAAAATGTGCTAAATCCCTTTCTCCCTTGTAGTCAATATCACATTATAAAAAAGCATAAATATTATACATCGTGCACTCTAAAAAATGCTGGGATGTTTCAACCCAACTTTGGGTCAAATATGGACTAACCCAACTTTTGGGTTAAACATTTAATGTAAAAATTTAACCCAACGGTTGGGTTAGTCCATGTTTGACCCAATGTTGGGTTGAAACAACCCAGCATTTTTTAGAGTGTGCACAATGTATAGGATTTTAAGGTTTTGACATTGCTGGAAGAAGAGATAGTTTCCAAATAATATTTCAAGTCTTTACAAAAAAAATAATAAATAGAGGTTTAACAGACAAAAATGTGCATTTATGTATAAAAAACTTAGTTAGGAAAATAAATAGATTTATTATAAAATACTTGTCTTTTAGATTCTTCTTTGAATTATGAAAACCAACTAAGACAGCTTTAAACACCAAAGAAAAATAGTTTGAAGCACGTACAAACATGCACAATTTCTTCCAAAAGGTAGCTTCATGGACACAATCCCAAAAAAGATGACGGACAGGGTAAAATCAGTGTAGCAACTTAAAAGATATCTCTTTAACCTTATTAGTGATTCGATATTTGTTAGGTAAGGACCACACTTTCTTCCAAAAGAATTAGTCTAATAAGATATTACAGAAGAGACAGTAATGATATCTTTCTGAAAGAGTTGCCAAATGTTTCCATTCCTGAGAGAGGGACTGGACAAAAAGCAAATGCTCCCTGGGTTGTGGCCTACTCCATTAAAGGTACACGAGTTGCGTAACAGCGTCTGACGTCAAAGCAGTCACAAGACTTCATTCGCATGCATCGCGGCCTTCGGCAGCAGCTCACGGACAGACACGCGAGCAGGAGCACGCAGCGATGGGGCTCAGCGCGAGAAGAAAGAGTTTTGCAAAACCCGGATCGACCTGGATGTTCTGAATCCCATCGGATCGATCGCTATCGTGAATGTGACTGATCCTTAAATACAGCGAGGATTTGTAGGTTGGTGCTGGTGTAACGCCGTTGATTGACATTGTGGATGCGGTTGTTGTGACATCTCCAGACTTCATCTCGAGCCGTGGATCTGCAGCTAGTCCTCTAACTAACCCAAACCACCCCTGCAGCGGAGTCCGGGGGTGATGTTGTCCGTTCTCTCGTACGGTAGACTGGTGGCCCGGGCGGTCATCGGCGGACTCTCTCAAACCGACAGCCGCGATTACAGTCTGGTGTCCGCCAGCTTCGGCTTCGGGAAGGATTTTCGGAAGGGGATCTTGAAGAAAGGGATGTGTTATGGAGACGACGCGTGCTTTATAGCCCGACACAGGTGTGCTGATGTGTTAGGTATGTAATGATTAAAACGATTAAAGGCCCTTTGTGTTACATGCAAAGACATTTTGTTTAGGAGAACTGGTTTGGTCAAGTATCATCGTGGTTGAATCGCTTCTGACGTCACAGCTGTCGCACATCAGGTGCATCAACAAAAGCCTTTATAGCATCATACTGTATATGTCAGTAATTGGCAAAACCCCGTTTAATCTTACTTGAACGTTCATTTATAATGCATTTTATTAAAACACAAAAATACACACATTTACATAAAACATTTGTGGGGAAGTCGTGGCCTAATGGTTAGAGAGTCGGACTCGTAACCCAACGGTTGTGGGTTCAAGTCTCTTACCGGCAGGAATTGTAGGTGGGGGGAGTGAATGTACAGTGCTCTCTCCCACCTTCAATACCACGACTGAGGTGCCCTTGAGCAAAGCACCGAACCCCCAACTGCTCCCCGGGCGCCGCAGCATAAATGGCTGCCCACTGCTCCGGGTGTGTGTTCACGGTGTGTGTGTGTGTGTGTGTTCACTGCTGTGTGTGTGCACTAAGGATGGGTTAAATGCAGAGCACTAATTCCTAGTATGGGTCACCATACTTGGCCACATGTCACGTCACGTTTTTTTTTTTTTTTTATAAACATATTACATAATAACAAAGCTTCAGTTTTATAACTGCTATATATTTATCACATTTATTAATGTTACTATGAATAATGAAGCACATGAATATAAAAATCACTGTTGTAACATTTTGTAACAGTGACATCAAACGGGCCGTTATGAACGTTCTGTGTGGCATTTTAAATCAACATTGCGCGCAACAAAGTAACATTTCGCATTGTGACGTCAGTAGCGTTAAGAACGACGCGTTCCATAAGCCTACTTAAATTACCCAGCCTTTCATTCCAAAGATCATGTTGTCAATTTATTTTGTTATTATTTAAGTGTTCCCACTTTTTAATTGAACAGACTCACTTCTTCAGTCTCATTATTACGTATTAATTATTACGTTACGTTAAGAAATTTTTTTTTAGTAGTATCTGCTTTCCTCTTGTATGAATGTCTTTATTTTTAATTTTTCCCTTTTTTTTGTCATATTTATTTGAATATATATTAAACTTGTGTTAATGCTCGTTGTCTTGAAAATGCTTGTACATATAGGCTACTCGTGCAATACAAATGATGCCAGAATCGCTGCAGCTGTCAACAAACAATAACAGAGTATAAGATGAGTCTGTTTCTAATGTTCAGTACTCCACGTGACTGGAGGGCCTGAACTGTTTTAGTTACGGATTAAAAAGAGCACTACACAGTGCTTTCTGAACTGTAATATAGTGTTATGAGCACAAAGTGAGATGAGATATTAAAAGAAGATCATGTGTTAGGCTACACAAACTAAGTTTGACAGCTCAAAGTGGCTTGTACTTTAAAATTAAAATGTAAACATGGATAGTAGTGAAAGTAGTTCATTTGACAATGCTGCTAGAATGTACAGTGATACAATTTTGAATACTATTCCATACCTTAGACCTGTTAACATTGTTTGGGACCTGAGAATTTGAACTTCTGGGGTTATCAAGAGTGCACATGAGTTTTTATGTAACACAAAACCCACTATTTAGTTGCAAGGAAGTCCGTCTGAAAGATGTGGGTGCAAAACAAAAGATGTACACTGAAGACCACAGACCAGGGTTTTGAGTCTTCCTTTGTCTTGAGTAATTACCGTGCTTAATGCAGATCTTCAAAGAAAGCAGATCGTTTAGTTCGTGCTTCATTTGGGAATAAAATGGTTAATTATATTTTTTAGTAGTCTTCAAAGTTGATTAGTCCTTGTACCTGTTTTGTCTGTCATTTAACCCACTCATAAGAAGTACGCCTACAAATTCAAACGGAAACATGTTAGCAGGTCTCTGGCAAGGCCTACTTGGACAGCCATACGTCAAAGTCAAATTAACCCGGGATATAAATCCTCTTCTACAGCTCAAAACATGGGCAGGGTTCTGTCATGGCCTCTTGTCTTTAACATGACAGTAAGAAACAAGAACCGAGGCTTTTGTGCAACTTTAAGCCAGGAAATCTAGCTGTGGAAATCCCAGTGGTGCTTTTAGAGGCGAGATGATGAGAGGATACAGGTCGATGTGAGGGGACTTGCCTTGTATGGTCACAAACGCGGGTTCCTGCTCATTGTCTGTCAGAAGGAAAGCTGGGAGGGCTTTGTAGGGAAAATTCCCTGTTTGGTGGACAGATTTGGATATGCACATGACATCTGTGGGGTGTAGGCCATAAATGTTTGCGTTCTCAATATCTAGATTGTAGATTTAGTTGGCCAAATTATATCACAGTATGAATAATTTTATATTATGGCAACACTATGCATCTCAACAGTTATTTTCTATTGTAATATAATTTAAAATGTAATATACTTCTGTGATCAAAGCATTCAAAATTTCCAGCATCATTACTCTTTAGTCTTTAGTATCACATGATCCTTCAGAAATCATTCTAATATGCTGATTTGCTGCTCAAGAAACATTTATGATGTTGAAAACAGTATGTTTGCAGAATCTGTGAAAGCATTTGTTTTAAATATAAATCTTTTGTAACATTATTAATGTCTATACTGTCACTTTTGATTACTTTAATGAATCCTTCCTAAATAAAAGTATTAATTTCTTTCTATGAACAGACTTTAAAATCTTAGTGTTGCTTAATAATTTATAAAGTGCAGCCTTCTAATGGTTTTGGCCCTAATCATGTTTTTCTGTCACGTATAGGTGTGGCTGATGGAGTAGGTGGCTGGCGTGACTACGGGGTCGATCCCTCGCAGTTTTCTGGGACGCTCATGAGGACGTGTGAGCGGCTGGTCAAAGAAGGACGCTTTGTGCCGAGTAACCCAGTGGGAATCCTCACCACCAGCTATTATGAGCTACTTCAGAACAAAGTACCACTATTAGGTGAGCACATTCATCTTTAGATTATGGATTATGTAGTGAATTCATTTCAAAGCTAGAAAATGTAAGTCTGCAGTATGTACAATAGAAGTCTATTTTCAAATTAAATGCAGCACAGAAAAAGCATTTGCTTTTAAATTTACCTTAAGATTTCTTTCTCAAATGTATTTTCTGTTTTCTAATGAAAACTGTAGCGAGATTAGATGGTAATGTGTTTGAGGCTGTTGGGATTGCAACATTATGCTCTGGCTTCAATTAAGGTGCGGTCGCGCAATTTGGTGTTCCGTCCACTTCCATTAAAATGCTTGCTTAAACAGGAGAGTATGTGTCATGCTTTCGCTACAAAACAAAGTTCAGTTGTGCATCAATACAAGTTCAACCAATTTTGCATGCTTAAAATCCCTCTCTCTTTAATCATTCAATTTGCAACACGTCTAGTCCAAGTATTCACAGACTGTGATGTACCGTTAGCATCAGACTAACATTCCCGCTTAAGGTGTCCGCATGCAATCTCTGCACGCACAGACATGTGAGACGCCATAAAACTGTTATGTTTTGGGACAGTCAAGAGTCAAGTTTTATTTTTCCTGTCTTAGGAGGGAAATGGTTTTAGGGAAGGGCCTTGACTCATTTTTTTCAGGATGAGATCAAAGCCGTAACTAAAATATAATGGACAGAAATGAGTCACTGTACAGCGTGCTGCTCTCAAAAACACGCTGTGGGCTGGATGAGTCACAGACAGAGTGTACTGGGTCACAAGATTGGATTTTGGTAAATCTGCACAGATTCAAAGCTAAACGGCAGTTTTAAAAATGAACTCTTAAAAATTAAGGTTCTTTATTGCTGTGAAAACCCCTTTTGGAACCTTTATTTTTAAGGGTAAAGTTAGAGCTGAAGTGTAGAATTTGTCTGTGTTTAACCCTCATGTTGTGTTCCAATCATTTAGACCCAGAGAGGATATTCTTTTTCCTGAAAATGTTAGTTAATGTTATCACACTGAACTAAAACATCATAATTTTGCTCATACAGTGTATAAAAACTTTGTGAATTTATATTTACTTTTTCCCACCTTGTTACACTTCTGGTGTTCTTGGACAAAAATGGACGACCTACAAAAAGTGCTTGTAAATATCTCATTATGCAATAGGGCTGCACGATAAATCGAAATGGAATCACGATTTCTTCGATTTCATAATTGCGCAATAAAATCGTCTGCGATTGTTTTTTTTTTTGTTTTTTTTTTGCGTAACTTGTCAGTGAACTACGGCTATGTGTAGTAAATTCTGCTCCATCTGAAAGCACGTGATTATTTCTTGCTGGTTACAGAAGCGTCTTTTTTAACAAAATGCTCATGACAATCACATTCGATTAATCGTGCAGCCCTATTATGCAATATTATCACCAAATCTTGGATTTAATCTTTTTGTCAGCTTGTTTTCTTTAAGTTTGCAGTGCACAGATTAGGTATTTCTTTTTGGAACTATTTGGTCATAGTCCTCACTGATCAAAACTTCTGCACCTCAGTTTTTTAAGTGAACACTGCCAAAATTATCCACATAATGCTTTTTTTGCACTTAAAGTGCCCCTATTATGGATTTTTGAAAATTACCTTTATAAAGTTATTGTCTCTTAAAAGAAAGAGTCGACTCTGAATCATTGAAACGAGTCGTTTTTAAAACGAATCCCAAGCCGTTTCATGTTGACGTCAACATGAAACATTAGCATATTGCCCGCCCACTTGTTGGTCTTTTCGCATTGGTCTGAATGAAAATGCAAATTCATTCTTTGCCACAAGGTGGCGCTTTCGGAGCGGTAAAATAGAGGTTTCCCCGGTAACGCTGTACACAAAGCAGCACTGCTCACAAACGCTGCTTTATCAGGCATTACAAGCATGATGAAATTAAAATGAGACCAATCGGCCCAATCACCGCAGATTAGCGTCACGCAAAGGAGGGGTTTGGAAAAATGAATCGTTGAGCAAATCGTTTGGGAGTCACTGAGCAAATAAGGTAAAAATAAATGCATATTATAAGACAATGGAAGTGTTTTTTGACCTTGCATGCATGACAACCTGTTGTTGGGACTCCCAAAACCAAAATATGAACCTTTCATTACCCATAATAGGGGCACTTTACACACGGAGGTGCATAAGCTCAGATCAGTGAGGCCTACAACCTATAAGTTCCAAAAAGAAATATAAAACCTGAGCTAACTGAAAGTAAACAAGTTGACAAAAACATTTTTTAAATCTTTTAAAAAGAAAAAAAAAATTTTTTTAAAAGCACAAAAATTATCAATTTTTTTGGGGAAGTTGTTATACCCCATATGAGCAAAGTCATGCTAGAAACACCAAATTAGGTAAATGATTTTCAGCACAGCACAATCAAGTACTTGCAGAGACAACTGAAAGCAAGCAATTTGTGGGTTAATTTCCCTTAAAAGTGAACACTGTGGCTCTATAGGGCATTTTAGAAAGAAATTAACATTGTATTTTATAGTACCTATGATGTGACTAAGAGTCTTTCTTGTCTTTAGGAAGCAGTACAGCGTGTATCGTGGTATTAGACAGGCAGAGTCACCAGCTACACACCGCAAATCTGGGAGACTCTGGCTTTCTGGTGGTTCGAGGTGGAGAGGTGGTCCACAGGTCTGATGAACAGCAGCACTACTTCAACACCCCTTTCCAGCTCTCTATCGCCCCTCCTGAGGCAGAGGGCTCCGTCCTCAGTGACAGGTGAGACCGTTTGCTCTTATGTGACTTTTTCCCCTCGCTTTCTGATTATGTAACGGCATCGTGTCCCCAAGCTAAACTCGAGCGAGACGTAATCCGCTGGCTGTCAGTATGAGAGCATGATTAGGTTCTCACTCTGGTTACTAACTCGACTGGATTATCAGTCGATTAGTCACTCGGTGTGTTACGATCAGGATATTTAATGATCTCTTTGCTCTTATTTCGGATCAGAATGGCTTAAACTGTCAGAAGAAAAATTTGATAATTGTGCACTAAGTTAATCTACCCTAAAAACAGGTAGAATTTTAAGCTGCAACTTATTGGCTTAATCACATTTAGCCAATAACTACTCTATGACCTCAATATTATTTAAAACATTGATTTATTTTCTAGCTTTTTAAGATGTTATGCTAGTGTTCTTTTAATTAATTGATCATTAATAGTATATTCAGGGGTTGAATCATGCTTTTGATTTGATTACAATGTTGACTGATTGCTGAAACCATAAAAAAAACCAAGTGCCACATTTTAGTAAATTGTCCTGGGACAATGCAATTTCCATGATTGCAAAGATTGTGACTAAATCCAGCCTGTGGTTTTCACTTTAACACATTTTCTGCAACTTAACATCAACTGATCCTATAATTTGTAACTTGTAATCCTGTATCCTTTTAACCTGTAACATGAAATACAAAGATGTGATTTGAATTTGATTTTAAATTCTCTCACATATGTGATTTTGTCATGCAGCTAGGCTGGATCTTCAATGGCATTAAGTACTGCTGGTTTTGTAACAAATGTATCACATAATTCAATGATAAATTTAAAAGACAATTATGGTCACTCTTCAGATTGCCTAATGTGAAATGTTCCTATTATTATAGATAATCTGTGATTTTTTTGCAATTAAATGTTATATTTATTTAGCCAATTCGTTTATTGAATATCTGTCTGTTACCTTATTGAAGGGTTGTGCTAGGGCTGCATGATTTGAGGAAAAAAATATCAAATGTGATTAATCTTTTGATTATATATCAATATGGTTATAAAATAATAAATCATTATTATTGTGTTATTCATTATTTATTCATTGTTATATATTAATAAATAAAAATATAAGCATTTCTAAATAAAAGCAACTATTTATGCAACTAAAAGCAATTATTATTGTAATATTTCATTGTAAAATAATCTATTTAAAAAAAAATGCATTATATTGATTTAAATATTAGATTATTTTACAGTGAAATATTACAATAGTAATTGCTTTAGTTGCATAAATAGTTGCTTTTAGTGTCTTCATTTTCAGATGTTAAACAATCAAACTTTTATTTCGACTGAAAACCGCAGGGAGTCTTTAAGGATTCTCTTTTGTTTAAAAGCATTTCTATTTACAAGTCTGGAAAGATGGTTATTGCATGTTACAGCAACCCAAACTCAGAGCAGATGCAGAGATGGAGTCTGTGTGGAGCAGCATTTACTGTGAACTGAGCTGCTCTGAGATGCTGAAAAGAACTACGGATAATGAGCTGCTCAGGCATAAATTAACACAATGCCGCGCTTTACTCTGAAACACGCAGTGCATATATTTATTTAAATTGCAGCCTTTGTGATTTGATTATCACACGAAGCAATTCCGGATTTATTTTGAATAATCCTGTAGCCCTAAGTTGTGCATTCACTAAACATTGCCAAGCAACACGTCTGATCAGTGTCTGGTAAACAGAACCCTAAATAAGGAAACTACAGTGACATTATCACACTTAAGCGGAATTGTTGGGCTCTTTCTGCTCTGAGCTACATCCGGTCACTTTTAATCTTGCCAATGGAGCTAATGGAGACAACCTTAGCATGGCCTCTGTAAATCCTGACTTTAGCTGGTTTCTCTTTGACAGACAGATGAGCTAGTTGGAAGTACTCTGAGGCCAGATATTCTTCAGATTGTGGGTCTAAATCTCAAACCGTTCCAATTTAGATTATTTATTTCTCCGAGTTTTTATTCAAAATAAGTATCAAGTTTCAACCGCGTGACCTGGGACTGGCCGGCCGGTCTGGCACAGACGGAGGGAAAGTCAGCCAGTGAATTCGTAGAGTCAGTGTACATAGCGTCTGCCGCAGACTTCCTGGAACAGGAACATGACACTTCACAGCTGATCAGTATGTTTCCGTGTGCTTTATACTGTAATGAGGATCAAGCTATAAGCTTCTTAGACTGAAACTGCTTTTATTGCTCCCAACTTGGGATCCTAAATATGGTCTGCAAACAGTAGTGCTTGATAGCGTTTTAGAGCTCTAAACACATTTCAACTTGAAAATGTGAAGTTATGGAGTCGGTTTTGATGGATCATTCTGTACCTGAGATTGAGAGAGTCAAATGTTTTGTTTTCACATAAGTCCAACGTAAAACCGAAATATCACATAACTAAACTATCGAAAGTTTACTTGAACAACTTTCTGTTCTCTTGTTTCCCACAGCCCTGAGGCTGCCGATAGCTCGTCCTTCGATGTCCAGTTGGGTGACATCATACTCACAGCTACAGATGGTCTCTTTGACAACATGCCAGACTACATGATTTTACAAGAACTCAAAAAGCTCAAGGTACCGGAACATCTACGAACAAGACTTCTTTCTGTCCACTTTTCTGTCCTCCAGCAGCACTAATATGAATTGTGTCCTCTGCTTTCAGAATACCAACTATGAAAGCATCCAGCAAACAGCCAGGAGTATTGCAGAACAGGCCCATGTTCTAGCATACGACCCCAATTACATGTCTCCATTTGCACAGTTTGCCTGCGATAATGGCTTGAATGTCAGAGGTGAGATATAACCTTTTGAACAAGCATCAACTACTGCTTTTCCTGATTTACTTTTTCTTTACAGTTTTCTGGGAGATAATGGTCTTGCTGATAGTCATCATTGGCACCAAGAGTGTACGCATTTGCTCTGACAACAGAATGATTACAATTCTTTGCTAAATCATGCAGTGCATTTACATTTACGCATTTGACATGCATTTATATTGCATTGAAAGTATGCAATTTTTTAGATCAATGCACTTTAAAATTTTATCACAATTCTGTTAGGTTCAAATCAGGGTTATTATAGTTAACTATGAAACTAAAACCATGAAAATATTTTGTTACTTGAAATAAAATAGTCATTAACTGAGATAAAAAAAAGCAACAGCTCTCATTATTATTTAATTTAACAAAAAATAATTAAAAAAAAAAAAAACGAAAAAATAAAACTAATTCAAAATATTAAGAAAAACTATAATAGTGTCTCAGTGATACTGAAAAGACACTGGTTCAGCTCAATTATTTTGGTATGATTCATAATTATTTTCAAAATTATAATTAAGACAAATGTCATGGGTTCAGTTTCCAGAGAATGCAAGAACTCAAAAAATGCATACTTTAAATGCAGTGTAAGTGTCTTTGGTTTTTCCACTGGAAATAGGTCACAGATTGTATTTTGCATGAGGATGGATGCATAATAAATTGGGTAGTAATAGTCAAGTCATTTTAATCCATAATCGGTGCATTAAATTCATTATCAGATTGATGCATTTTTACACTCCTTACTGTCCTGTATTCAATGGCATGGGATTGTAGATGTTGAGTAAATCTGTAGTCTTGACAACATTCCCTCTCTCTTTTTTCTCCCCAAAGGAGGAAAACCAGATGACATCACCGTTCTGCTGTCAATTGTAGCCGAGTACACAGACTAACGCTCGCAAGGGCAGCAAAATGCTTCTCTTGTTGTCTTCCTCTCAGTCATTGGACTGGCAGCTGTTTCCTGCTGGCAGGAGTGAGGGCTGTTTGAGTTTTCTGTTTCTGGCAGGGACTTGGAGCCCACATCTGTTCCTTGGGTTCTTCAGCCTTACTAGTCTGTACTTCAAATGATGTCGTCTGCAGACTCAAGTCAAAGACCACCTTGATACGGACTGCTAACGTCGAGTTGTGTTTGACAAGGGCTACAACAGGTGTTGAACACTTCTCCAGTAAGAATCACCAGTGTTTCTGTCGTCCAGAGATGAATGAGTAGTTGGTAATGATGTGGTTGTGATGCCAAAAATTGAGAAAGAATGAGCGAGAAAGGAATAACAATCTGATTAGGTACCAAAAAAAAGAACGTTTCCGTATCAAGAAGAACATTAAGATGGAAGCGTCATGCAGTGGGAGTGTTTAACTTTGCAAAAGGCCAATGGGAGATGCCCTCAAGTTACATAAGTCTTGAGATGGCACGTTTTGCCTGTTTATTTTCCATTTAAAAAGACACCCGATCTGTAACCTCTGGACAGACATCTGCTGAATGCCAGCTGAGATGTGATGTTATTAGGCACGAGTGACTACAACAAACTCTTCACTAGCTAATGGAGAGTTTGTATTTTGGGAAGTATGCTGAGGTGTAACTTTACAGTACTAGACTGATTATGAAGCTTAACATCGAAATACTGTCAAAGTTAATGATCAACCATAGAAATGCCTTTCCTTTGAGATATTAATTAATGAAGACGCTTTTGCAGAAGTTCTCATTACATGAAATAAGAGTCAGATGGGTGTTTTGTTTAAGCGATTCAAAGTACAGGACAAATTAGTTTGCTTGGAGACAGTAACCTTTTCCTTTCATATTTATTAATTTAAAACCGTATTACTCCACCCTTTTGAGTTTTTAACGTAATTACAGCAGTACAACAGACTGCAAGGAATTGTGGGATGTGTTGAGAGGAAAAGCAGTCCCACTTAAACCACTTTTAAGAGGTTCACATGCTTGTGGTGTGCGTGTGTGTATGTGAGAAAAGAACGTTTACGATCTGTAGATATTTGGAAAATTGGCTGTATATTTATCTATGACATGTATGCATTTGCAAAGTGTAGGCTATTACACATCAGATGTATATGAGAGTATATTTGATAATTGTGTGGATTCTGTGTTAAAAGTATTTTTCTTCCCTTTTTTTTATGTAAAACTTAATTTTAAAATATCCCTCGATGTGTTTATGCACAAAGCTAATGCTAGCATCTGTGAATGCTTTCGGTGGGTATGTCATGGATCACATGATCTAATAAAGTTATATTTTTATAACTTCTGTAGGTCATGGTTTTTCTCAGTAAATTAGTGTTTCTCTGTTTTAGAGTAAATATTAAACTGAAGTGTCTAAATTATGCTCTGTGATAATGTCACAGATGCTGTCAATAGTTGTATTTAATGTGAAATATTAAGAAATATTAATATTTAATAATCTTAAAAATATTAATTAATAGTTCCTATATATAATATACATTAAATCTTGTGGTTTCTCTCCAATTTTACAAATACTTTTGTAATTGTAACAGAGCTGGGTGCTTTTTTTTTGTCCTTTAAAAATAGCATTTGCGGTTTACTTAAAGGCTCTGCTGTGTGACAAATTAATTTTTAAAAGAGCAAATGCTGCATGTAATCTCTCAATTAATATGATTAATAAAAGAGGCATGTATAATAATTATACAAGAATAGTCCTAGATGAAGTATAGCATGTCACACTACAGGAGACGAGAGTGATGTCTACCCACACAAACACCTTTGCTTGTTTCAGCTACCTAGCTATTCTAATCACACAACCCATTTGCATCCTGATTAATTAACTGGATTACACCATCGGATGAATCTTCATGGCCACCTGCAGAAAGCAGCCATTGCTTTTCTCTTGATCTATTTCTATAGTGATTTCTGGCCATCCAAGTTGTAGATGAGTTTGTTTCTTCATCAGATTTGGAGAAATGTAGCATTCCATCACTTGCTCACCAATGGATCATCTGCAGTGAATGGGTGCCGTCAGAATGAGAGCCCAAACAGCTGATAAAAATATCACAATAATCCACACCACTCCAGTCCATTAGTTAACACCTTGAGCAGTGAAGTGCTGCATGAAATAAGAAAAAAATCCATAATTAAGATGTTTTTAACTTCAAACTGTCACTTCCTGCTAAAATTCAAGTCCTCTATCCATAACATTGCTTTTTCCAGAGAAAAAGTCGTCTTGTCTGATTCAAGCACCGTTTACAAGGCAAAAATGGTCCAAAACAGTTCTAAACAAGTATGTCTGTGGGTTTTAATGTGAGAAGACAACTGGAAATGGACTTTTTCACTCGAGGAAGCATTATGAATGGCCAGAAGTGACAGTTTGGACTCTCATTCTGACGGCACCCATTCACTGCAGAGGATCCATTGGTGATCCAAGTGATGGAATGCTAAAATTCTCCAAATCTGTTCTGATGAAGAAACAAACTCATCTACATCTTGGATGGCCTGAGGATGAGAACATTTTCAGCAAATCATTTTCGGATGAACTATTCCTTTAAAGCAGAAGTGTTTAATTAAGTCATCTATATATGAACCATTGGTACATTGTTCTCCTGAAGAGAAATAATTGACAAAATGACACACTTCAGCTTTAAGGCTTCCATTTCTTTGCATTTTTATATGCATCAAGCCTGTATACATTTTATAGTGTAACTGCAACAGTTTGTGGTTTTCCTACATTTTATGCTCAACTGAGGTGTAAATTGTTACAAAGGGCATGACAGCCTGAAATACTGCGCACATTACCATCACCGGTAAGTGGCTGGAGACTAAATTTGTTTGTCAGCAGTCAACAAAACCAGCAGTAATGGTTGTGACCCCGATATCATGAGCATGAACTAATACAATAGCGATTGACTGAACCATCACATTAAGAGCTCAAATGACAAAATGCCTCTAAAAGGCGAGTGAAATTAAGTTATTCTGTTTTGCACGGCTGTCCAGCTCAACTCTGACACAATCTGTATTGTCAAGCTTCTAACGGACATATTTTTTCAATTCAACAGTCATGCGAAACACAAGGCTTTCTCTGGATAATGCGGCAAGGTATGTGTACAATAACAGTAATTGCTGCAGTCTTACATAACGATCGCTTCTCGGGCAGCATTTTAAAGCAGTGAGTCAAAGCTTCCGCGGTGGACACACAGAACACGGAGTCCTTCAGTCCTCAAGAATGTTTGTTTTGAAGTTTTGATTTATCTTCTCCATGGTGACCGAACTCATCTGAACTGTGTGTTTAGGTTGACATTCCTCAGCTATGCAACAGAGAGTGATTGTGCCCCACTTTACTATTGTCCTAGAGTTTTCCTTTCCTCTCTCCAAGAACAGTTTTAACCCATGACATAATTTTTACATTACAAAGAACAAAGCTAGCTTACAGCTTTTTTACAGTAATAAAATAATACAAGATGTGTGCACTAACAAGACCTAGCGATAGCCTTGACAGCAATATTTAAGGAACATGTCAAATTTAATAGATTTCAACCTTAAAACAACCCAAATGTTTAGTAAAGTATGACATTTAACTGCAGAAAACATGCTGTAGGCCTTATGCAGTAAAGTCCATGCATTCTTGCAGTGGGTGTTACCTGCATCAGGTTAGCTTACGTTGTTACCCGAGTCACTCCTCTGTGTCACTGGCACAGACCAGGCTGGGCAAATCCGCAGTCTTACCATGCCCTCCATCGCTGTATACAGCCCCAAAGAGCAGTGAGCGGATCTGCAATGAGACCCTAAATTTGTAAATGCAAACATCTGAGGAATTTTGACCAAATTGTAGCAAAATGAGTGTATTGTTTTTATACAAAAGTGTAAATAAATGGAAGGAATAACTCACCCCAGAAAGACTTTGGGTTTGGACACTTGAAATTAGTTTTGTAGACAAATAAGACATAAAACTTCTTTACAGAATTACTATTTAGCCCAAAAAACCTACTGTATCATTTTTTATTTCTAAGGCCTCTAAATGATCAACATGATTAAATTGCAAGCATGATTAAGAATTACTTTTATACTGTTAGTACTATTTCAAGATGAACACTTACTGGATTGAAACATTTTAGCTTTACTTGATTATCCATACATTATGTTAAAATGTGAGTTTCAAATATGATCATCAGGCTTTTGAGGAACGTTTATTTGTTCATCATCATTGTATTGCATTGCATTATATGTTTTGAGCTTTGATCATCAATCTAAGCATTTAAATATCATCTTAAGACATAAGACATTATCGGGAGATAAAGTGACAACTGATATTTATATCACTTTATGTAAGTAGTCTGTTATACTGTTATGAAGATCTCATTGATTTATATTACAAGCTATCATCACTTCAATTCTTTTTCTTCCTCGAGTATGAGCTCCATATCCTCCTATATCATAGGATACGAGCCATAAAAGCTTAATGTATCACATGTGACACTCAACAAAAACCACATATACAAACTTTTTTATATTCTGTCTAAAGGTTCAATAAACTGATCAATTTTAAAATATATGTGACCCTGGACCACAAAACCAGTCATAAGGGTACATTTTTCAAAATTGAGATTTATACATCATCTGAATTCTGAATAAATAAGCCTTCCATTGATGTATGGTTTGTTATGATAGTACAATATTTGGTTGAGATACAACTATTTGAAAATCTGGAATCTGAGGGTGCAAAAAAATCTAAATACTGAGAAAATCGCCTTTAAAGTTGTCCAAATTAAGTTCTTAGCAATGCATATTACTAATTAAAAATTACGTTTTTATATATTTACAGTAGGAAATTTACAAAATATCTTCATGGAACATGATCTTTACTTGATGTCCTAATGATTTTTGGCATAAAAGAAAAATTAATCATTTTGACCCATACAATGTATTTTTGGCTATTGCTCCAAATATACCCCGGCGACTTAAAGGGGTCATATGATACGATTTCAATTTTTCCTTTCTCTTTGAAGTGTTACAAGCTCTTGGTGCATAAAGAAGATCTGTAAAGTTGCAAAGACTAAAGTCTCAAATCCAAAGAGATATTCTTTATAAAAGTTAAGAGTCAGCCACGCCTACCTAAAACACCTCGTTCTAACACGCCCCCACATATCTATGTCACTATGTGGAAATATTAGCATAATGCCGCCCAAATGTGCACGCAAAGAAAGAAGGCGTGGTTTCAGGAACAGCAGTAGTGTTGATGCAGCCATGTCAGGGAGACGCTGTGTTTCAGTGCGAAAGCAAAAGCACTTTATTTGGCCTTCTGGAAGTAGATGCAATTAGGAATCATTGGTTAAGATTTATTTACAACAGAACAGCACAAC